CCTTTAAAGGTGGTACTTTTAGGGTTCTAACATCTGATACTGTTCTAGCGTCATAAGAAGATTCTGAACAAGTTCAGAGGCTACAAAGAATCAAAAGTATTCTAAGAAGATTTGCAGAGTTTGACATGTTACAAGATACTGAGATAGATTCTAAAGAGGAATTCATTCAGTGTACCATGTTAGTAGACTCTGAAATAGTGAGTACAGAAGAAGCTCTCAAGAAGAAAGTATGGCTGAAGGCCATGAAAGAAGAACTTGAGGTTATAGAAAGAAATAAGACTTGGTAGTTGACTGAGCTTCTAAAGAACAAGAAAACCATCAACGTCAGATGGGTTTTCAAGGTGAAACTAAATCCAGACGGATCAATCGGAAAACATAAAGCAAAGTTAGTAGCAAGAGAATTTCTACAGAAACCCAAGCTAGATTACTTTGAAGTGTTTGTTCCTGTAGCGAGACATGAACCAATCAGACTAGTGACTGCGATAGCTGCTAACAGGAATTGGCCTCTGATGCATTTAGATGTGAAATCTGCATTTTTGAATAGGCTATTGTAAGAAGAGGTACACATGTCACAACCTCTCGGATTTATGAAAAAGAATCGGGAAGGGATGGTGTGCAGGTTACATAAAGCGTTGTATAGATTGAAACAAGCTTCTAGAGCTTGAAATCTAAAAATTGAGGGTGATGATATAGATGCTACAACTTTTAAACACTTGGTAAGCTCATTGATATATCTCTTTAACAATAGACCTGGTATATGTTATGCAGTTGGAATGGTGAGTAGATTTATGAACAAAATAAAGTGGTCACATTACCAAGCTGCTGTTAGGATTGTGAAGTATATTAAGGGGACTCTTAAATATGGAGTCTTATTCCCTTCTGGCGAAAAGACTAATTTAGAGCTGATGTGTTACTCAGACTCTGATTGGTGTGGTGACAGAGTTGACAGAAGAAGTACTTATGGATATTTGTTTAAATATTTGGGAGGTCTTATTTCTTGGTGTTCTAAGAAGAAATCAGTTGTTGCTTTGTCAATCTGTGAAGCTGAATACATTGCAAATGTTGTGGTTGCCCGTCAAGATATTTGGGTTCTAAATTTACTACAGGATCTGAAGATAAAGGTAAATAAACCTCTGAAGTTGGTGATTGATAACAAGTATGCCATCAATCTTGCCAAGAATCGGTTGCTGCATGGAAGATGCAAGCATATTGAGACTAAGTTTTATTTTTTGAGGAATAAGGTTCTGAATGGAATGTTATAAGTTATGTACTGTAGCACCTAGAAGTAGCTGGCAAATGTTCTAACGAAAGCGATCAAGACTGATCAATTTCTCCACTTAAAGGATGGAATTGGTGTTGTCAGTTTTGATCAGTTGAGTATGAATTAAGGGATGGTGTTAGAAGTAACTAATATTCAGTTGTGACATTAGTTTTATTAAGCTTAACCTAGCTAGCGTAGATTAGCATTTTGCCTACGTAACATTTTTGTTTGTGTGTATATATACAAGTGTAGCTGTCAAATATTTGTAGAGCAAACGTGAGGGATAACCATTCATTGTAACCGTTTTTGTAAGAATAATAAAAGTTTGTTATTTTAATTCTCTCTCTTCTCCATCTTCCTTCATCTTCATTTTTTTCATCTTGTATACCACAAATTGATATATAAAAATAATAAATAAGATTGCGCTAATGGATTTGGTTTCTATTCAGCCATACTACTATTTGAAATAATTTTTATATAATCTATTTGATATGAAATTATAATACGATTATTTCAAATAAATTTTATCTCTATACAGACTATTTCAAATTATTTAAATATATTTATTTTTTTATACAACAAAATGTTCGCCCCACTAGTTAAGACTAAGAGTAGTGGCTCCATCCCTAGATAGGGCTCATCATGTTTCTCATTACATGAAAAAAAACATATAAAACTAAATACTTTATATATTGCTTCGTGTTGCTCATTACATGAAAAATCATATAAAACTAAAATTATTTACTATAAACCTTCGCCTCATTAAATGCATGACAAAACCAAAAAAACATATAGAAATTTATGCAACAGTACATACTCCATTATATTTATATATAGATCGAGATCTCACATTGCATAATCCAAGATTCGCATTGCATAATCCAAGATTTAGATTTCACATTGATTTTCTTCTTCTTTCTTTCTTTATGGTTGTCTTATATATCAGAGATTAATAACACTATACATAACAAACCACATGCTGTGTTCGTGGGGTGAACATTTTGTTGTATAAAAAATTTTATACACTTAAATTAATTGAAATAGATTGACTGTAAAAAAATAAATTGCATAAAAATTATAAAATTTATTTGTATAAAAATTATTTCAAATAATAGGAACCAAATCCATTATTACAATCCTATTCATTATCTTCATATTACTTTTATATGTCAATGTCCTCATATTCCATATAAAATTTATTTGATTATAGTGAAAATTATAAAATATTTTCGTGTGTTTATCACCAACACTAGTAATAAATGAAGCACTTTGTGCACGGACTTCATTATTAAACACATCGAATATTTTTGTGCACTAACACTAGTAATAAAATATTTTCGTGCACTAACACTAGTAATTAAAGACTTCCATTAGTAATAAATGAAGCACTTTGTGCACTAACACTAGTAATAAAATATTTTCGTGTGTTTATCACTAACACTAGTATTATATATTATGTTTAAAAGAAAGAATTTAATTTGTATGTATTAATAGTATAAAATTATTTTATGTTGTCAATTAATCACTCTCATATATTCTTCTATGTCAGATTATAAATTTTAAATTATTAGTATAACAAGTGAGATTGATTGATTTTTATTATTGACAATGTAATATTATTTTATATTGTCAATGCCCATCAATTAAATTTAAATAAAAAAATACTTAAAATTCTTAAGAAATCACTGGATTCTTGAGGTCAGAGTAATATGATACATTATATATATATTGGATTCTTGAGTTCAGTGGTATTTGGAATAAATACACATGTAATTTGTTTTAAACAATGTTTGGAATAAATACACATGTAATTTGTTTTAAACAATGTACTCACTGCTCGATAGTTAGGAAGTATTTTAGGGAAGATGTGAGCACTTAAAGTCTGAAATGCACTTTAAGAAGATAAGAAATTTATTGGATTTTTAATTGAGTCCCAACTATAAAAAAATATGTATCCAGCCTATTTAGCAGCTGAGTTTAATTACAATATATATTTGGGACTAAGAAAATGTTAACATGGGTAAATTTAAAGAATTTCTTAATGTATTTTAATGTAACTTGAGCACTATGCAAAATTTGAAATGCATCACCCATCATATTTAATATATATATATATATATATATATATATATATATATATATATATATATATATATATATATATATATATATATATATATATATATATATATATATATATATATATATATATATATATATATATATATATATATATATATATATATATATATATATATATATATATATATATATATATATGATTTGTTTTTTAGTCGCAATTTAATTTTATGAATAAATTTATTTTAAAAATGCATCTTTTGAAAATTTTCCAAAAATATATTTTCAAAAACAATTTATAATATGAAAAAAGTGTTGTTACTTGTTTCCCCACCATTGAACTTGCATAAATCAATGAGAGGTTCTTCCGAAAGTTTGCGTGAATGGTGGAAAGAACAAGTCAAGTTCAGCCAAAACGCACCAGAAGCAGTTTCCAAATACTTTATTATTATTACCACCACTATTTGAAAACCAACTGGTTTCAATTTCATCATACATGTATTTATTTTATGAATTACCACTACCAGAAATACAGGTAGTACCTTCGGAATTTCCTGCGAAAAATAATCTGAAGGTATTCCTGCAATATTACCTGCGAAACTAAATTTTAAAACATATTTTCCTGCGAAAGCGTTACTGCAGCAAATTTGGCAGAAATTTCTGAGGCTTTACCTGCGATTTATGATTTTAAAATAATATATCACTTTTCCTTCGGATTTTACGGCGATTTCTTTCGCAGGAATCGGTTATTCATAAAATATCCTTTGGAAATGTCGCAGGAATTGCTGCGGAATTTGCTGGGAACTTTACTGCGCATTTTGCTGCGGATTTTGTGGTACTAGATTTTTTATTTTTTTGTTTTTAAATTAGTCATAATTTTACTCTTAATAAATAAAATAATAATTATTTATCACTAATTATTCATATTTCAATTAAATTTTAAAATAATGTATATGTATATATATTTTTTTAATATATTATTTTTATTTTTATAATAAGAAGTAATATTTATTAGCCAATTTAATTATTATGCTATTAAAGTTGAAAGTTTATTTTAAATATTTTATTTAAGAGGGTATCAGTATTCAATCAAATTTAAAATATAAATAAATTTCTTAAAATAGAAAAAACGTCTATTTTAAAAATGTATAAAAGAATTTTTTAAAATATTTATTAAAAGAATAATTAAATAATTAGTATTAATTTTAAACAAAATGGAGAATAATTAATAATTTTAGAAATGGCTTATTTTCTTTATTTATGTTCTTAGTTAATAAAAAATCAAGAATTTTGAAACAAATTGCATACGCGTTTTTTTCTTTTCTTTTTTTAGAAATGGCTTATATGAAACAGTAGTAAAAATGATTATTAACATTTCTAATAATTTTGTTTCAGTTACCTACGGCTATGTTTCCCAGAATTCTCGGACACGAAGTCGTCGGATAATTAATTAATTAACAATCGTATAACAAAATGAATATTTCGTTTAAAATTTTTACGCACACATGTGCAGAGTTGTGGAGAGTGTAAGAGAGCACGTTGAAGAAGTGAAAGAAGGAGATTTAGTTGTGCCGGTTTTTCTAGCAAACTAGAATGCAGAGATTGCGAGAGTCCAAAAAGCAACAATTGCAGCAAGTTTGGAAGCGAAATAATCGTTAACATGCCAAGAGATAGAACAAGTAGGTTTAAGGACATGAATGGAGAAGTGGTGCATAATTTATTTGGTATCAGCAGTTTCTCTGAGTACACAGTGGTTGATGTAACACATGTGGTTAAAATTCGCCATGATTTTCCTCTTGATAAGGCTTGCTTGCTCAGTTGTGGTGTTTCCACAGGTAACATATATTATTCATATTTTCTATATGGTGGCTTTCCTTTTCACGTATCTTCATGACATGGAGGATATCTTTATAACCATGTATATTTTATAGAATAAAAAGATATAATAATAATCTGGATTTCGTCTATATCTGAATCAAGAATCTTTTCTATTAGGCAAGAGTTTTTAATAATGGGTGGTTTTGTTTTATTTGGATATGTTTGCAGGGGTAGGGGCGGTGTGGAAAGTGACAGATGTAGAAAAAGGGTCCACAGTTGCGGTTTTTGGCCTTGGTGCTGTTGGTTTAGCTGTAAGTTTACACCACAAGTTTAGATTTTTATTTATTAGGCAATAGACAATAAAGATGCTTTTCAAGTTGATAATTTAGATCCAATCTTAATTGATTTAGATCTCCCAGTAAAGTTAGTGATATGAATGAATTAGGTGACTTTAGTTATGTTTTAAGAGAGAGAAATTCATGGTGACTTTCTCCCCATGAAGTCACCAAAACTCTACCTAGATAGAGACTCCTAAGTTTTGAGAAATGTTAGTAGGAAATTCTTGTCAATGGTATAAAATTGTTGGCAATGAAAATATTTAGAGGTTGGTTTCCACAAAGAATGTTTATATATAGCTTCAGAAGTTTGACAAATAGAATCCTTAAAAATGATTTTACATTCTAAGTATTAGTAAAGGTTTATTAGTGCTTCTGCTGAATCTTCCATCCATTTCACATGGTTTATTAGTCCTAATTTTCACTGCGATGACACTGTTGATATCAGTAACATAGAAATATTTCGTGTTCTACAAATAATTTTAATTGCACAATTTCTTTAAAATCTTACAGGCGGATGCTAACCATGTCATTCCCCAGACCAATATTGATAACCTCTGCGCTCAAGGTGCTTGTTCTCAACCGTCTCAAGTGATGCAACATCAAGCTAAAGAAGCTGATATACATGCACTTTCTGAACTAACGCGTGCTCTAGATAAAAAGGTATATTTTTCGTTGCATTTATGCTCCCAAATTAATATTTTTTTTGTACAGTTCTTTTGGAAAATGTTATACTTCTAGTTTTTATCTAGGTGGTTTGATAAATCTCAACTGGATTCCTCTATCTTTATTAAATTTTCCTTGTTTATAAATGATCTTTTTCTTGGACATCTGGATTTGAACCCGGATATCCAAATATTTACTTGATAATGTGGATATCTGGATTGGTTTTGATTTGAACTTATTTTGAACTGGTTTTCTCAGAAAGAACTGGTTTGAATTTGTTTGACCATTTCTGAACTGGTTTGATGTTGTTTGAATTAGGATTAATTGTTATTCCAGAAGATCGGCGTTACGGTCCAAATTTTGGGCAAACCGTCTTTCGGGAACTATCACCTTTCTCCAACCGGCTTTTCGGATAAGCACTTTTCGGCATAATCCCCTTTTGGCCACACTTCTTTTTACTCTTTTTCTCGGCTGCCCCAAAAATAAGAACGGATGCTATCGGTTTATAGCCGCAATCGAGTTTGGAAATGGGAGTTCGGCTGCGGCATCTGTCGTACCCTCCCGACACCCGATGATGTGTAACTGAGGGTGTTCGGACCATCAAAATAATTTTTCCGTTAACAATCTGCTTGCTTTGTTCTTGTTTGTCTATTCAGCAGGTATGAAGAACAATCGGGCACGAAGGATTAGTCGAGCACGAAGATCTTTTAGGGAATTAGGACTTAGGATAAAAATATATATCTTTTATTTGTAATTTGTAATAAATAATATTTATGAAACTAATTCAATAATATTCCTTATTCAAATTCAATTCCTCTTTGTAACTTTAAATACAAATATTATGAATGATATTCAATATTTTCCTATCTAAAATACTTTCCGATTATTCTCTTCATGATTATGAATGATCACGCTCTTCATGATATAACACCACCGGTCACATGCCTTTGAACAAAATCCAACGATTAAACTTAATCCGATTAATCTTGAATAAGACTTAAATTCACCATATAACTTTGACGTGACTAAGTCCCAAAAATTAGTCGAATCAAACCTGTCATTCCAATATGCACTGCTTTCCATAACTGATAGAATTTCCCCATACATTAAGTCGCGCCTGATGATAGAATCAGAATGGGCCCTGAATGGATAAAAATAGAAAGAAGAATAGAGAAGTTCCATTAGCAGCAAAGCAGAACTACATTCCGTGCCAACAATCCCACTTGTATTTCCGATAGCTAAATCCAATGTCAAGGACCAACTCAGCCAAAAATTGCCATCAAACAGATCTAATAAATCCAGACTTGAGTCGACGTTTGTATTGCTTTCTTTTTGAATAATTTAATGGCAGGTAGCGGAAGAACAGAGAAAATACATGCTTGTTGAACCCCGAATTCCGCAGGATGAATTCACGCATTGACTTGAACCAAATCGATATTTTGATGTAATCATACCCAATATGACAACATAAATGTCTCAGAAATCTACGGGCGACAGAGTCTCGGCCCACTGATTTAACTAATGTATCTCCATATCCAGATGCCAAAAATTACTGTGAATTTCTGCTTATCTTCAAAAAACATAAAGAACTTGGGAACGGAAGCTCTAACTGCTCTATAAAATCCTAACAGTGATTCAGCTTTGTGACTTGTCGACAAGCAACGTACAAATGACAGTTTTGCCCCTTAACAACCAAAGTGTACCAGACGCGGTTCCTGCAAAACGAAACAAACTACGTAACTTGTTAATAGTGAGCTGATGCAAAAATGAGATGACATGCGACCTGACTCGAGTAATCTGAGGGTAAACTTTGGGGTGTTACAGTTGCCCCTATTTAAATAGCTACACCGGATGATTTGAGCGGTAGAGACTCGAGAAATCATGGTAGAGGGATTTAAATATAGATAACCGAAATTTTTTCCCTTATATGAATCTAGCACGATGCGTATGATGGAATGGAAAATGCAAAGATGCAGATGACACGACGACACAGGGAACATACGCGATGAACGAACCACATCGGGGAGTATGACATCACCGGTGAAACAGCACGACACGGGGAGTCTAAAATGATGGCCAATCGGCGCTAGCACGACCAATTGTCACTTTTAGACAAGGGAATACTAAGAACGGGATCCTCCACGGAGATGGTACCGGTGAGACGGCCTCCACTGGAAAATATCTGAGAGTAATTATTCAACAAGTTTCGGCGTGACCGACTGATATACTAGGGTAGAAGTAACACTGGATCTGCACGACTGTAAGATCGATTAACAAGATGTTGGAGCATTGAACGAAGAATAACATCCGAGCTTCTGGAAACTCTCCCTCGTGACAGGATCAAACGAAATTTAGGAATCCGTAAAAAATATACAGGGTAAAAACCGATTGTATGCCAAAATAAATGGACTTCAATGAAACACCCTGATAAGCTTTCTCGAGAAAGAAATGCCACTTATCGTTGGAAGGGACTTAAATTCTAAACCGGATAAGCTCTCAAATAAAGAGGCCGTTGCTTATCTGTGGATAATGGATTGAAAATTTGATTGATGAGCTCCGCTGGAGGGATTGTTACTCATCTGATAAATAAACCTTTTCATATCTAAGGTCGGCACCCGGAATACGATTCAGATTCTTCTTTTACTGAAGGATAAAACGAACTTATTCATACTTCAAGGTCGGCGCCCTGAATACGATTCAACTCCTTCTTTTACTAAAGGATAAAACGAACTTATTCATACTTCAAGGTCGGCGCCCCGAATATAATTCAGTTCCTTCTTTTACTAAAGGATAAAATTGCCCACGGTGGGACGCTTAAGTATGAGTACGGCGACTCAACGTCTTAAAGTTAGGAAAAGATATGTCCACGGCGGGACGCCCAAGAATGAGTGCGGCGACTCACCTTCTCAAGGTTTAAATGATATATCTACGGCAGGACGCCCAAGAATGAGTGCGGCGACTCAGCTTCTTAAGGTTTAATGTAGATGACAAGCTCCTCGGCTGGGAACTGTTGCTTATCTGCAAAGGATTGTAAATGCTTTCCTTGAAAGATAATGCACAATAAATGCACGTCCAGGTAGGTTCAGTGACCGACGGGACCGAAGTTCGATCTAGAATTGGGCTAGAAAGAACTAACACACAAGACTCCATTGAGGAAACGAACTCGAATGGGGACTACCTTATCCTAACGCGGAAAGGTAACAGAAATGACCATCGTCCACGAGGATTGAACTCTGTGGGGAAACTTGGAACAAAACAAGTATTTTATGCTTAGGCTGATGATCTACTTGGAGAGAGCGGACAACCCAGTTACTCGGCGGTAACGACAAAGGATGACGACCAATAGCCAAACAATGTAGATGCTAATGCGTATGCCAAAGTTTCCACTAATGTATATGTTAATGTGTATGAAAATGCCATGCGATGAGTATGCAATGCTTAGGCTCATGCATATGCTGACAAAACAGACAAGAGAAGAGACATGAGATGAAATAAACATCTCGACAGGAATACCCGGGGACCTCTGCAACAGTACATCTATCAGGGGATAAGAAGAGTTGATGATAGAACCAGATCTTGCTTCAAAGTTCTAACTTCCCTGGGGAGAAAGTATCATGACTTCCACACGGGGATACCACTTCACTGGAGAGTATGATATCATGACTTCAACTGGGGATCCATGACCTCTGCATGTGGATACGATGTCATGACTTCACGTGAGGGATTATGGTCATGAACCAAAATCAGCCCAAGAACTCTTGGATCAGAGACTTCCAGGGATAAACTAAATATCCGTTGTATGGGGAAGGTGTGGAGCTAGACAGCTTCATGGAAATAGTGTAGCAACTTCCTGGAAATAATACCTCGGCTTCCTGGGGAAAGGTACATCCAACTGGGGATAAGATATATCAAACTTCCCTGAGGAGAGTTCGTCGAACTTACTGGGGAGAAATCAACAGACATTCCTGGGGAAGGTATCTTGACCTCTTGGGGAGAAAAACGGTAGTCTCCTGGGGAGTATTCTTGAGGGAGGTAAGGTAATTTCACTGAGGAACAAATGTTTCCCCAAAGAGTGGGTCTTCAAGAACATATATCACTTGGAGGATACCAGGGATATCTCTGCGGTCTTGAGAGTCACTGGGGATTTATCAGATGGACCTCAAAAGTGGTGTCAGCTTAAAGTCTTGCTGGGGACTGTGTCGGCTTAAAGTCTCTCTGGGGACTATGTCACCGAGAAGATGCTGGTAACGACCAAATGCTGATGCAACAATGTGACTTACTGGAAAGCGAAGCGATCTTTTACAGATTTCCCTGAGTCAAAGTAACTTTCATTTCCAAGTGTATCTTCGAGAAGATAATTTAAAAATTTTTGAAAACACTTTTCACGTTCAAATTTTATTAACAAAAGCAAGTTGCATAACAAAATAAGATGGAGATAATGTGAACAAGGAAATTGAATAGCAAAAGGTAAATTTTATTGAAGAATGGTAGCTTGCTAAAGGCATAGCTCCATGGGAAATTACAATTTGAAATTGGCAATATGGGAAAGGTTATATTGAATCCGCCGACCTACTGACCCTAACGACTAAGACTACCCACAACTTTGCTTCTGAAGAGAGCGATGGGATTTGAAAATGGATTTCTGTAAATGCGTATGCGATGCTCGGTGTCGTCCGATGCAGTGAAATGCCTTTGTCCCTAACTTTTGCCTGGACCGCCCTTTCGGGTTTTCAATCCACCAGGACGCTCATTTTTGCCTAAGCCGCCCTTTCGGGTTTTCAACTTAGCGAGCCATATTTTTTTTATTATTACTTTTTCTTTAGGCATAATATTTTTGGACTGCATCGAAATTCACAGGATCTGCGAGCTCTTCTCCATCCATTGTTGTAAGAATTAGTGATCCTTCAGAGAAGACTGTCTTAACAACGAATGGGTCGTCGTAATTGGGCATCCATTTCCCATGCATGTCTTTGTGAACTGGCAAGATCTTCTTGAGTACAAGTTCTCCCAGTTGAAACTCACGGATCCGGACATTCTTGTCGAAGGCTCTCTTCATCCGTTTCTGGTATAGCTGACCATGACACATAGCTGTCAAACGCTTCTCGTTGATGAGATTCAGTTGGTCCAACCTATCTTGAACCCACTCGGCTTCATCTAGATTGGCTTCCCTCAATACCCTTAAGGAAGGTAGCTCAACTTCAATGGGGAGGACGGCGTCCATTCCATATACTAAGGAGAAAGGGGTTGCCCCTGTTGAAGTTCGAACTGTAGTTCTGTATCCGTGCAAAGCGTACGGTAACATCTCGTGCCAATCCTTGTAAGTCTTGACCATCTTTTGTAGGATCTTCTTGATTTTTTTATTAGCGGCTTCAACAGCGCCATTCATCTTAGGACGGTAGGGTGACGAATTGTGGTGCGCAATCTTGAAGTGGTCACACAACTCTTTCATAGTCATGTTATTCAGATTGGTACCATTGTCAGTTATGATTCGGCTCGGAATTCTATAGCAGCAAATAATTTCTCTCTTAAGGAATCGAGCAACAACTTGCTTGGTCACGCTGGCGTAGGACGCGACTTCTACCCATTTGGTGAAGTAATCAATAGCGACTAGAATGAACCGGTGACCGTTAGAGGCTTTTGGCTCAATTGCTCCAATCATGTCAAT